GAATGTGGAATGTGGTGTTCGTATTTCAATGAGCTGGATTACCGAGGTGAAGCAATCGGTTAAGTTGTGTGAGTAAAACCCCTGTACGATACAAGCAATTAGTGACGTCACTACTTGTGTTTACGTTGATTTTTTGGTTTACTAATACAACAATATTTTACGATCTGCTTCACCTCTCTATGTATCTCATTGTTCGTATTTCAGCGCAGTGTTTGTCTTTTTACACGAAACAGCTGTTGTCTGTGATGTCACATCTACTGTTCTCAGTATGGAATGTTGTGCTCACGTGACGTCGTCATTCGCTTGCACAGCAATGTTTACAGCATTTCTGTTTCTAACACCAGCAAGCTGCCTGCTGTTGCAGACCTTATATGATTGACATCGGGTAATGCGGCCTTTTTTTCGACTAGCTTACAGGGGGCTTATCAAAGGTTCTTTTTTTAACTTGTATTTTCAAGCCGGTCAGAAGCCAATCAAGAGCGTTGACTTGGTTGAATTCCATTCGATTCATTTCGTAAATTGCGATAGTTGAATGTAATTGAATGGAAACTATTCGAAGATTTTATGTTTGCGTTGAATACACCGTTCGAAAAATTCATGTAAATTTCTGCGAGATATAGCGCACATAAAATTAACGCTAGATTTGGCATAAATTTACGCGATATTTCGTGTAAATTTAAGCGCAATATAGCATAAATTAGCAATATTGAATGTAAGCTTGTAAACGATTTCGCTGTTTATGCCGAGTATAGCTCAAAATTAAACGAAGGGAGATTGTACGCGATAGTTAAAATTCAGATTTTTTACTGTGTATGTGTAATAAAACTAACATTTTGAATTAATAATATTGTTCACTGTGCTATTAGTAAGTAAGGTTATGAGTGTTATAATACATCATGAAATATTCTGTTGACATTTATAAAAAGTCGAGATTTTTCTAAGAAATCTAGCAAAATAACTAAGGTAAGTGTATCACTTTTAGACCCTAGTGGTCGTCTAATTGGCCTTATCTTAAATTTCACTTTTTAATTTTCTTTCTAAATATGTTTCGATACAAGGTTAAAAACATATGTTTTGGCAAAAATCTACCCAAATAAAGCCATTTAAATTTATTTCAAATTTGACTAAGGCCCTAGGGTCAAAAACTGGACCACTAGGGCCAAAACTGGTACACTTATTCTATGTAAAATAGATTCAAACGAATACTTTCGTTCGTAAAAAGTGCTTGTTGTTGCTAGAAAAAAATACCCGTTCCTGGTAACTTTGAGACAGCTTGCTGGGAGCCCCAGTCTAGGACCTTAGTCATAGTGATCGAAAAAGTTTGCCAGGAACGCCCTTCGCCTTTTCGATCAATCTTTCCACGTTTTAGTGCAAAGTAGTTGGAGTAGTTCTTTGTGTTGCGTCTGCTGAAAAAAAAATTCAATAAGCGCTCAATTTGATTTATCGTCCTACTTGCGAAATTCTTGCGAATGGAACGATGGTCAGCTCAAAACACTGCATAATTTCCGCATAAACCGGGACACTTGTTGCAAAATGATGCTGCTTCTCTCTGGACTTCAAAATGTAATCTCCCATCGTTTTGAGCTATACTTGGCATAAACAGCGAAATCGTTTACAAGCTTACATTCAATATTGCTAATTTATGCTATATTGCGCTTAAATTTACACGAAATATAGCGTGAATTTATGCCAAATCTAGCGTTAACTTTATGTGCGCTATATTTCACAGAAATTTTCATGAATTTTTCGAACGGTGTATTCAACGCAAACATAAAATCTTCGAATTGTTTCTTCTAAGTTTACAAAAAGATTTAAGGTTAGAAGAATTAATGAAGTATTGGCGTGGAGTTTCCCCACTTTTTTGCCAGAACTACAGAAAAACAATACGTATAGCTTATAGCATTTTAGGATTAATCGTTGGGTGGCAGGTCATTGGATGCAGCTAGCTATATAGTTATAAATAAAGGACGTAAGTAGTTGCCTGATCGATGACCAGCTTCACGCTTTCGTCAACTTAATGCCATCAATCTTGCTTTCTAAAATGCAACAGTCGGGTGGTCGAATCGATAGTGAGCCCGTTCTAGCGATTGAAACATCAGCAGAATCTTGCTGCAGTGGCTGCAAATTTGGAATGTCATCAGATGAGATTCTATATTGTTTTTGTTGAGGGGTCTGAGGAACTTGATCACCATCTTCCGGTCGGGTCAATTTGTCCGGTATGAACATGTCCTATTTGAGTGCCTCTGGATAATCGTCTTTTGTTGCTTCAAAACAAAACATTTGAACTGTAAAAAAAAACCGGTTTGCCAAACATGCCATTATTCAAGCAAACAATAGATTGTCAATGATTTGTTTTCATCGGGAAAATTTTCCGCTATAATTTTTTTTTTCGATGAAAACATTTTGCGTATACGTATACGTGACGTAGAGACTGTACGATAAACGTCAGCAATCTCTATGTCAGTCCGATCTAGTCCGATGACTGACACTCTCGGCACTGCGGGCACCAGGGGGGCTCTATCACTGTCAACCATGTATAGATGTACGACAGAACAAAACAGCTTACTCTTTCACTCTTGCATCACAGTGGTGAATGCTAGAAAGAGTAGTTGGTTCAAGAGTCTGTTGCAGTCATCCTAACCCCTATATTCATCACATTGTTGTGAGCAACGACGAATTGATTGTTGAACCCTTGGCGGGCACAGCTGCGGCACACTTAGAGTAAAGCTGGCGCAAAATGAGTATGTAAAGTTACCACCTCTTGGGTGATCCCTAAGAACATGATTCTATTGAATAAAGTTACGGTAGTTTACAATTTTGTAGAAACAACCAAGTTGCTATCTCTTTATGAAGGAAAGTTATAAACGGGAAGTTAATTAGTTTTCAAATGTTCGAATGAACTCAAAATGGAGCAAGTTTTAAGCTTGTAGTGGCACTTTAAAGATACATTTTTAGGTATGCGAGAAAATTGTGAGGATTTTTTTGTTCGACTTATTTAATTGCCTTTCTAAAAGGGCGTATTTAAATGAAATAAGTGGACCTTGTAAAAATCGTGTACCTAGGAAAATATCCAAAAATATCAAACATGAAACAAGCAGGTAGCTGGCAAAATTTCTTGTATTGTCATATTCCCTAAAACAAATATTAATGAACTATTAAAGTTAATGAAGTATACGCGATCAAAACCGCAAAAAATGGTAAGCTAACGTAGTCTTAATAAACGTCGTTTCCGGTACAATTTGTGTTGAAAATAGATGATAAGATCTCATAAGAACTGCCTATCGAGGCACCTGTTATTATTTGATCTCGATCACGAAGACACTTGATCATCCATCACCACCGCAAGATCTCTTTCTCCCCATTGATGCAGTCGCGTGAAGTGCATATCCTGCCAATCATCATCATCATTCTTTCTTCTTTCTTCCCACAGCATACTCACTCTCAGCTTAACTGACTCACTCTTCCAGTTCTTGCTCGGATTACCTCTCCACCGCCCTCGCTACCTTCTATGGGTGGAGAACGAGATCATTCAACTTTTGCAACACACGAGACTCGCATTTCTTTCCGTTTCGAGCTTTTTATGTCTAGGTGTAAGTACCTACCTACTTACTACCCGTAAAGTAGTAAACAACAAATGTTGCTCGCCAGCCAGAACAAGGTGATCCACACGGCACACTAAATATAGGTACCTACTACTACGCGGGGTCACCACAGAGCACGGAGACACAACGGAGGCGTCACCGATATTGTGATGCACATAACTACTAGGAGTCTATCGTCAATGTGTTCTTTTGCGGTGCTCAAGATAGACGATTTTTTTGTTAATTTAGCATGATCCATTACTATTGAGTTTTTTTTAAACTTGTTCAATGAATTGAGCAACCTAAATCGGTAAATTTATACAACTATTGCAAACGGCGGCAATGTGCGGTTTCTGACTCTGCACGATTCAGATCAACCATTGGGCTGCCGCCGTGAAGATAGTGGTCGCGTACTCCCGAGCTCATGAATGTATATTTTTATTTCATACGCGTACGTACGGGTGTATAATGTTTCAAGGCCAATGTCGAGTGTGAATAACTTGTTTCGATGCTTCCTTCAATCCAGTGTACATGCACACACATACATGTATACTAGGGTGCCTCCTTAAAAAAGTATCTGCAATCTTATAGGTTTGATTCATAACCCCAAAATAGGAGCCTGTGCAAACAATGTAAAAATTGATGGAGGTTTACCATGGATTTTTTTTAATTCCACTACTACCGCTCTATCATTGGTTCAAGCCCTCAGCATGCCGTCAAAATTGAATATGTGGTTTCCGTGACAATGATAAACAAGCCTGTCGTTGTTGTGATTAAATTGGTGTTGTTATCAATTTTCCGTATTAGTCATTTTGCCACATTTTTATCATTCTAGAATTGCTAACAAATTTATCATAACAAAACCAGGCTTGTTGGTCATTTTCATAGCAACCACATATTATTTTTTTCAGCGTGTGGACAACAACAACCAAAGTTAGAGCGATATTTGAGAAAATTAAAGTTCTTCCATACTAATCTCCATACAAATTTTAAACCATATGCGCGACCTCTAGATCTTCATCAATCTTAATCATTTTTTTACGCAGGCTCATATTTTCGGGATATGTATCAAACTGCAGGGTGGTATCTAAGATAGCAAATACTTTTTTTTTCAAAATGAAGCACCCTAATGTACACATGTACAATCCGACAGCAGTTCATAACTCGAGAGTAATTGCCGGGGCGATCCCTGCTCATGGTTTCCTATCTCTCGGAGCGAGCACAAATTACGCACAGTTCTTATTCTTCTCTTGAGTCTATTTTTGCACACCCGTTCTGTTCTTGGAAACGCGGAACAGATCTCCTTTTCCGGAACGCAAATAAAGCAGACCCATCAGGCTTTGTGGCTTCACTCGCCTATATCGAGTTGCAAGTATTGTGCCGTGATTTATGATCATCAATTACACGCTCATAACTTACGAGGAAATCCTTTGACGAGCGGAGAAAATTCTCCTAGCAGCAGCGCCGCCATGGTAACGGCCACGAGCCATGACCTCCTCGTCAGTGCCATAATTCCTTTCTTTGTCAAATATCGCCTCGCTCACTCGCTCTACTCCCGAAACTAATCACGCTTATCAATCGACTCGAATAACACGACAGCACTCCCTTCGACTGCGAAAGTGAATTCACGAATGAAATTCTTCTCTAACAAAGCGGACCGCCAGCGTCGATCTTGACCAGGCCAGGAAAAAGGTGCAGAAAGAGAGCGATCGTAGTCATTACGGTCATCGCCGAGAGCGGTCAGCAATTTCCAGAACCATCATTTGCACGATCCTGTATGCGAAGAAGCATCATCATCATCAAACGCTCGGGATTACCGTCAACGATGCAATTATCGTACTCTTGCTTCTTGGAGAAATTTTCAATTAATCACTGATGCTTCTAAAACGCTCTTTGAGTTGCTCATCTCGGTGATTTCAATTCACTCGATTACCGGAATTCGACCCCTCAACTGTAATATGTAGCGAAACCATTACACTTCTATGTTCATCATTCTCCATTCTCACTGACGAGGGATGGATGGATGGATGATGATAATGGCAACGAAAAGGAATGTATGTAGCTACATATGTAGTACTTTTCCTCTGCTCTTTCTTCTTCGCATAGCTTCTAAGTTCGGTAAGCTCTACTCTGAGATGAGAGTCTATACGCGTAGTGCATAAAGCAGGCGCTGACTTCTGGTCAGTATAGCAAACAAGTGCCTACTTGCTTTGATGGGGAATGACTTTCTCAAAGCCGGTTCGGTGGTACTTAGGTACCGACTGGAAACAAAGGAGGTGCACAAGAAAAATGTCATAAAATCTGGACGGACGATTGCAAGGTTGCATCCTCTCTGGAGAACCTGTTGGCACAACGACAACCAGTGTTTGTGAGTCACGCAAGGCCATCTCAGAGTGATAAGGAAATGTGAGTGACGTCTAATGCTGACGTTCTGGGAATGTTATGATCGAAGGTGGTGCATCGGAACTCAACACTGTGCGGTACTGTAATGTTGTCAACGTTTGCTTGATTGAAATTGACGTTCAAATTGGTATAATTTGATCAAGTTCAAGCGAGTGTAACTGACACCTTGCAATACTACTCTCTGTCGTAGTATTATATGAATGAGATACGTATAATAAGCGATTTAGGTATGTATTGTTCTATTGCTTATAGAATTTAATTATCTGAACAAAATCAATAAAGGCCAAATGCAAAGCTCAATTTTCTTCGAAATTCATAAATCACTTGAGTTCGAAGAATGATTTCATTCAATCGTTATTATTTACGAGGGTAAATCAACCAGTTTAGGCACTAGTGATCCAGTAATGGTGTGAAATATGTTTGTATGATTTTATATATGTAAATGTATATATCAAACCTGACATATTGTATATATTGACATTTCTGGATCGCAGATCTTCTCTCCATTTTTGTTGCAACTCTGGACAGATTTCGCTACATAATACACAACAGTCACCCTGCCTTAATTCTTGGGCAGTTGAAGACCACGTACTCGTGTTTCCTCAGTTAGTCCACACACCAGTCAGAGGACTGGTTTTTTGTTTACCCATGTCGGGGAATTCGGTATTAGATTGCGGGTCCATCTACCGTTCCCCATCGTGTTCTATTTCTGCAGTCATCTGATCATCGACTCAGCTCTCTCTACCTTACGTATTTCGCTGGTTTCTTTCCGATTGTAGCACTCACTATGTTCCACCAAGCTGATACCGATGGGGATCATTCCAGCCCCATGACGCATACCGCTTCCCTAATAAAAAATACTATACCCGATCGATAGCCCAAATGGTAAAACTATTCCACAAATGGTTTGGATGATACCCTGAACACTTCGTTAAGCAATATAACCATAACAAATTTACTAGGTTTCCAACAAGTTCTATACGTGGTCACAAGGCTAGGGTTACAATACGTATTCTTTTAAGAGTACAAGTATTTTTTTTTGCTTTGAAAAAACTAGTCCTCTTCTTTTAGCAGAAAACTTATAACTTCACCGTATTAAACCGACTACCTCCTACGCCATTGTCTATAGTTATTTGTTTTCATTCGAATAAAAAAGTAGAAAGGTCTGTGCCCAGGGGCACAGTTTTTGAATTGTAGGCGTACCAAATTTGTAGTAATTTTTATTCAAAGAGAAAGTTGATTAAGAGAATCAATCAAAATCACTTGCACCCCTGATTCCAAGTTTGTGTGGTCATTGGGGGCTTGTGTTTCTGAATATAGACAAACAAGCACAGATATATTCTATTCCAACTCTTTACTGATGTAAGCTTGATGGCCGTTTTATTGAAGAGGACATCCATGGCCACTTACGCTTGGCGTGTTTAGTGTAGGTGACAGCATCACGGACTTCATCTTCCAAGAACACACCTTCAGCACACCTCGTAGATCAGACCGGAGATACGTTTGACACCACCACGGTGAGCCAGACGACCGATGGCGGTTATCTCGAAGAACTTTGTGCCTTCTTTACCAGACCTTTTCCTCCTTTGCCACGACCAGTCAATTGTTGCTTGTTAGGTGTGAAGGAGTGGACTATCCACCACCTTCCTACTGCTGCTATTGCTGTTCTCCACGCCGTCCGAAGCAAAAATGAGCTAATGCCATACAGCAGCGCTCTTTTATATCTTTTCAGGTTTAATCAGAATGATGTGCAACCAAGTGGTATAAAAGCTACAAAGACTCCTCCCATTACGAGTAGTTTGCTATCAAGTAGCGACTCTGGCTCTTTTCCTTTTGCGTACACGACGAATGAGAACGACCCAAATTTGAGTTTAGTTCACTCATACTCGCCAAGAGTGCAGGAACTCAGCGATGAGTAAATTTTTCTCATGGTTTTCTGTGGTTAACCTAAAAAATCTGCCAAAAAATGAGGAAATTGACGAAAATTTTATTCAGTCTCGGAGTAGTACCAATAGACTGAGTGAATCCAATCTTTACTTTTCTCAAATTCGGGAATTTTTCCCTGGAAAATCCTGGAAAAACTTGGGAAAACATGAGGCAAATTTACTCATCGCTGAGGTACTGCACTTTATTTATTATTTCTGAGATAACTAAACTCAAATTTGGGTCGATCTCATTCGCCGTGATATCACCTTGAAAGATATCGGCGCCGGTGGTTAGCGTGATTACCTCTCACCCCAGCAGGCCTGGGTCCAATCTCAGTCGGTGCCACCTGCATGTTCTAAGGCATAACATCTCTGATCACGCCTTCCTTCGGGAAGTAAAGCCGTTGGTCCCCGGTTGAGTTGATGGGTCGATTGGTAGGGCCCAGGTGTGAGAGCTGCCTCCCTGGCGTCGGTAAAATTGGAGCTCAGTACGGAAAACAAATCCCGCGTCACTTTTCAATACGTCCTATCTACATTGATCGATTCTCTTCATCGACACTCTCTTCGGTAAATAACTCGGCTTCACAAATGTTTCCTGCCGTCTTCGTCGAATTAGAAGCTTGATTGTTGCTTCTTCCATCGAAAATATCCGGCCGTGGCGATTCAAAGTTGATCAAGGTTGATCAAAATAATTTGTACCGCTGCTTCCAGTTTGATTACATGAGCACTTTGTGTGATCGTTGGTTCTGAATATGGACACACAGACAGATGAATTCTATTCCTACTCTTTACTGTAATAAGCTTGGTCGCCCTGAAAAGAGCCGTTTTGTTGCCAAAGTTGGTGATGATTAAACCTCCGAAACCAAACAGAGAGCGTCTCTGTCACTTCAAAACGTAGATGACATCCATGGCCGCTTACGCTTTCAGGAACACCTTCAACACACCTCGCAAATCACCGGAGATACGTCAGACACCGCCACGGCGAGCCAGACGACGGATGGTGGTTATCTCGAAGAATTTACGTTTGGTTCTGGATATGGCGATGAGTGTGCAAAATATTACGCAATTCCATCCTCCCTATTCGCACGGATAAGCAGCATATGCATGTAGGTAGTTGGTGGATTTGTTAGTTAATTCGACGCTTTTGGACAATGCTGGACATTTACCAGTTTTTCAATAGTTTCTTGTTAGAAATCAACATTTTTATCGATGCGTAGCCATATTTCTGATCGATTGGTGATAAAATTATTGAAATTGGACCAGGGGCAGCTGTATTATTAACGTTCAAAATCTTTCTTAATTTGTTACATGTTCCACTTTCGGTTTTCACAAAGTGTACTCCCATATAGAAATCAAAGACGTAGTCCTACGTCAAAACAAACCAAATTGGGAAGAATATAGTCAAATTTAACCTATTCATGTTAGTGTATCGAAATATTAGCACTTTGAATAACCCCTCGTTTGACAGTTTAACCAACAATCCATACGAAACTATCGATTTTAAATTGGCGCACTACTTGACTAGCCTATTGGTCCCAAGCAAATCGATTAACGTACCCCATTCTAGTCGACATTCTAGTACTACGCAATGTTTGTTTTGATTCGCTATGAAAGTTTGACAGATAAAATGAGGGGTTATTGGTTTTTCCTATGTTCCGAGGGGTGAATCGATTAGAGAGTACCAGAGCTGAGCCAAAAAGGTGAGCACGTTATTTTGGGACCTTCTGGTCTTATAGTTACCTCTATGGTTTAACAGCAGCTGTGAGTGACGTTCAAGGTGATGTTTAAGGTGCTTCGCTGTGAGATCCGTATTCTCGCAACCACTTCGCAACTTCAAGTGCACAAATATCAGCTTTCACGACACGTACCATAATGAAACTGTTACTCCACGTTTGCTGCACTGCAGCATACATGAAGTAGCAATTTCAGGTTAAATGGGGCACTGATTTCCGAGATTTGTGTAACTGAAGATTCGAAGTGGAAGGGCATGTATGGCCTACGTGGCGGCCTTTAGTGGATTCCACAAGGAATCACCTTAACGAGTTACGAGATAGCTGCTCAGCCTGCTGAGAATATGCATTCCACTCCAAGCATAAACAAAAGTTTTTAATGTGTCCGATCAATTTGGTATCTTCTCGGCAGCAAAATTTAAACTATTGATACCATACACGTATAGTTGTAATCGTTTTGGTAAGTTGCAAGATTATTATCCCACCGAGCTTTATTATTTTAACTGGCAATCATTCACATGTCATCATGTCTCGCCGAAGAAACAAGTTTTCGGAAGGTTTTCAGGCAGAATTTCGGCAATTCAAA